AAATTTTAGAATAAATTTAGATTTGTTCGAATTGGTCAACATTGGCACGAATTATGGCCTTCAAACGACCAATGAAACCGTCACATACTGTCCGAATGTTGGTCTGCGGTTTTTTAGCTCATTCCCGGCTATGCGCTTGCTTGAGGTGATCGCCACTTTGGTATTTTTTAGTGTCAACCTTGCTTTCCAAAATACTCCAGACACAATAGTCCAACGGAGATTTTGGTGGCCACTGTGCTCTGGGAATGAAGCTAGGAATCTCATTTTGTAACCATTCTTGGGTGGCGCGTTCTGAGTGCGATGGTGCTGAGTCCTGTTGGAATGTCCAAGGTCTGTGGCCAAAATGTTTGCATGCCCAAGGCTTTAATATACCCTCCAGAATATTTTCGCAATAATATTCGGCATTTATTCTGATGCCACGGTCGATTAATACGAACGACCTGTTATGGCGGCCCATACCATCATCATGGCCAGTGTTTGGGTTCTGGTGGCCAATCGAAGGGCGCATTTTCAGCGCCCAAGTAAACACGATAATTTTGTTTGTTTACAAACTGCTGGACAACGAATGTTTTTTGTCATCGGAGAAAACCAAATTCGACAGTTTACCACCTTCGGCCAAGTGAAACAATTTTTTAGCGGTTTTGAGTCCATTTTCTTTCTGTTGCGGTGTAAGTTCTTGCACCGTTTGGAGTTTCAATGGCTTTACCCCGAGGTCATTTTTCAATATTTGCCGAATGGAATATCTTCAGCTCAAAAGCCATTTTTCGCCCATTCCGACGCCGGTCTCGATCAAGTCGCTTCTTTACTTTTTGAACCATATCTGTCCACTTCCTTGACGTCGGGCTAGATTAGAAATGACAGCGGTCTGAATTTGGTTGCACTTTTTTCATCTCACCCTGTATGTGTGAATCGACGAAACTAAAATTGCGCATAATTGGCTGTTACAGTATCGGAACCATAAACACCATTCATGATTTTAGCAGCTTGGTTGGCATTTTCGCCTTTGTCAAAGAAAACCAATTTTTTAACACCCTGTAACTCACAACTGAATGCAACAAACAAAAAACAGCAAAATATTATTTTTTACTGCGAAATGTCCTTCCCTTCCCATGAGCATAAATCTGAAATTGATTGATCGATACTTTACGAAAAATCTATCAGTACAGCAAAATTATGGATTTATTTTTCCCCAACCTAATATATTTTAACACATTTGGATTTTTTTTTTAAGATTTTCCAAATCAAAACTTCACAAACTTTTATCGGACAAACTGTATATTTTTTGTGACAACTTTTATAGTCTTTCACAATACATATTTCAAAATTTTTTTTCAAACTTTGTTTAATTTATGCCGCCAAAACTCAGTCTGTAACATAAATTATTATGAAGAAAAGGTTTTAAAATAACAACCAAATTTTTCTAAGAAATATAATATATTTTTATAGTTTATAAATAGTTTTGAAAATATTCCACTTCGTAATGGAGAGCAACAGTTGATCATCTACATTCGTCGTTCTTTTTTTGTGTTTGGAACGAGAAAGATCGATTTGCTACGTGAACTAGATTATCCAACTGTATTTTTAACGTCACGAGTCATTTTTGGTAAGGTATTAGCCCGACCTGAGAAGGTATAAAAAGTTCGTGGTCTTTGCATTAAAGGGACCCCCCATTCTCGGGGTCAAAAATTTTTTTGATTTAATTTGAAAGAAACTCCACCGAATTAATTTTGAATGCACTCCACATGGTTTAGATGAAATCCGTAATGAAATATCTTTCAAAAATCTAGCATTTATTTAAAAATCCATGTATCAGAATGCCCTTGAAAAACATATAGAGACTCGAATCAGCTCGTCTATAGAGACTCGCATCAGCTCGTCTATAGAGACTCGCATCAGCTCGTCTATAGAGACTCGCATCAGCTCGTCTATAGAGACTCGCATCAGCTCGTCTATAGAGACTCGCATCAGCTCGTCTATAGAGACTCGCATCAGCTCGTCTATAGAGACTCGCATCAGCTCGTCTATAGAGACTCGCATCAGCTCGTCTATAGAGACTCGCATCAGCTCGTCTATAGAGACTCGCATCAGCTCGTCTATAGAGACTCGCCTCAGCAGGTATATAGAGACTCGCTTCAGCTCGTCTATAGAGACTCGCTTCAGCTCGTCTATAGAGACTCGCTTCAGCTCGTCTATAGAGACTCGCTTCAGCTCGTCTATAGAGACTCGCTTCAGCTCGTCTATAGATACTCGCATCAGCTCGTCCATAGAGACTCGCAACAGCTCGTCTATAGAGACTCGCATCAGCTCGTCTATAGAGACTCGCATCAGCTCGTCTATAGAGACTCGCCTCAGCTCGTCTATAGAGACTCGCCTCAGCTCGTCTATAGAGACTCGCCTCAGCTCGTCTATAGAGACTCGCCTCAGCTCGTGGATATAAATTTTCTTCAGCTCGCCTATAAAGACTCCCTTCTGTCCGTGGATAAATACTCCCTTCAGCTTGTCTATAGAGACGCCATTCAGATGGTGTATAGAGACTCCATTCAGCTCGTGGATAGAGATTCCATTCAGCTCGTCTATAGAGACTTTATAGAGCCCCTATAAAGAATCTCTTCAGTTCGTCTATTGAGAAATCATGCTTCTATTTGACCTTAAACAATATTCTTTAAAAAATCTACACATCTGATACATTTTTAAAATACATTCTTTAAAAAATCCAAGCTTCTGAAATTCTTTCTCACATTCTCTCACGAATGAAAACAAACAGTCGCGAATTCTCGCGAATGCTCAAAACAGCAACAACAATAACAACAATCATTCGTGAACTCAATAGTTGTTGGACATGCTACACACACATTCATTCGGTGTGTGTGTTTACTTGTTATACCCTACACAACTATGTTGTCAGGGTATTATAGCTTTGTGCAGCCCCAAAAGTTTGTAACGACGCGAAATATTGGTCCTAGACCCACCTTTAAGTATACCGATCGTCATATCGTCACTAGCTGAGTCGATCTAGATATGTGTGTCCGTCCGTCCGTCCGTCTGTCCATTATAATTTGTAAACACGATACAGGCCACAGTTATGGACCAATCTTTACAAAATTTTGCATGTAGGTTGGGTTCTGGCCAATGAAGACCCCTATTGTGTTTGGGAAAGATCGGTTAATATTTAGGGGATGAAATGGACCAAACACTAAATTTTTATCGGTTTTTCTGGTCGCTCCAGAAGCCGCAATAATGGCCCGAACATCGTGAAATTTTGCATGGAGAAGGGGATCGGGCCAAAGAATAAGCATGCCTGTTTTGATAAAGACAGGTCAATATTTAGCGGGTCAAATGGACCTTGACTTTTGTGTGAAAAATTACAAAATTTGTGTTCTATAGCGTATATATTTACCCCTGAAGGACATAGACCCGAGAAGTTGATATTATATCCAAGACGAGATGTTGACCTTTAAATTAATACCAATTATATTGTTGTATGTGCTCGGATGTGGGAGTTAAACCTAAATATTTACAGGTATCTCCGTATATTATATTATTTAGTAACCCATTATCACTCTAGAGATCGGAACTATAGCGCTGATCGCTTTGAAATGTTCCATGAGGTTCCAGTTATGGTCACGGACAACGCCTATAATTTTCGGTAATGATCAGACAATAATATTGGGATGAAGTGGACCGAAAACTTAATTTTTTGTGTTATTTTCGAGTCGAGTCGAACATCACAACACAACCCACGGTGAAGGGAATCTGGACAATAGCTGTACTGAATACTCGTAATATCCGGAAAATATGTCAGTGTGAGGAAGAGTGTACTTCAATTATTCTCCGCACCCTGGAAAAATCAATGTTTCTTTTAATCATTAAAAACTATTCATTAAAAAATGCCAAATATTCTTTAAAAAATGTATGTCTATATGGGGCCTTGAAAAAAATCTGTAATTGATCTTTTAAAAATATTCCTTTAAAAATCCAACTTCGGACTGGCCTTGAAAAACATTATTTTAAAAATCCACTTTTCTGATGGTCCTTGAAAAGTTATTCTACAAAAAACGCACACTTCTGGCAGTCTTCTAAAATATTTTTTAAAGAATCCACGCTTATATTGAACCATGACAAAATAATTATTTTTAAATCCACTCTACATCCAGGGTAGTTTTCTTTTCCTACACAAAGAGAGTAAATCAGTAGAACAGAAATCTATGTCACATTAATTTTATAACTATGTTAATTAAATAATTTTTATAATTTCTTTATAAATATTAATATATATGTCTGTAGCATCACATGTTAATGTAACTGACCACATACTACATATATTCGTTGCCAAGCCTGCGCATGTATGTTAATTAGCATATCGATAATGTAATTTATTGTCCAGTGTGTCGTTAAGCAAATATAAAAAGAAAATTTTACCAAAATGACTAGACAAAAAATTAAAAAAAATATGAAAAAAAAACAATAAATAATTCAAAACTATTTCGATTACAAAATTATGCAAAGTCGAATTTAGGCTGGCTTCTGTTTATTTTTATTTTCATCGGGGATTTTTTAATGATGTTCTTTTTTTAAATGATGGACCTATTTTAGAACAATAAAAAAAAAAAAACAAAAATATGTGTTTTGTTTAGAAAAAATATAAAAATTCATATTAAAACCGGTTTCAAACCTATGAAGCCAAGTACCTTAATCTATATCGGATATTAAAGACCACGAATGTAAACAAAAGCCAAAACATTTTATTTTTTGTGTGTTTTGGGAATATTTTATTTTTGGAAAATTCGCTCATTTCTCCATTTTGATCGAACGAAAGTACGAAGTATAAAACATTTGCCGGATGAAAGAATTCGCAACAGAGTTTAAAAGAAGTTCAAAGCTAACAGAAGTTTCAAATAACTGTTGCATTAAAAACACATTAAAATAAAATAAATAAAAAATAATATTTAATAATTTATTTAAACAAAATAAAAAAAAAATAGTTTCAAAGTGAATTCGAAATGAATCATCCAGAGTGGTATCATCGAGCCAACGACGTACAGCGCCACGATGCGGAATGCATTTTGGCGGAATTTGCCCAAAAAATGGCGTGGTTACCCAGCGGAGGTGATTCCCTTATTGATTTGGGTTCTGGTTCGGGAGATGTTGTCATTGATTTCATATATCCACAAATGCCAGAAAATTTCCAGAGGCTTGTATGTTCCGATATCAATGCAAACATGATGAATTTTGCCTGTCAGCAATATGGTCATATTAAAGGAGTGGAGTTTAAAGTTTTGGATATGGGCACAGCGAATGGATTACCGTCGAGTTTAAATGGGCAATTTGATCATGTGACATCGTTTTATGCTATGATGTATCCAAAAAGTTTGAGGTAAGAGGAAAACAACAATTTACAACCACGCCTATTTTGATCCTTGACAAAAATTTTCATTAATATTTTGGTCCCTGAAAAAAATAGTTTTTAACAAATCCACGCCTATTTTGGTCCTTGAAAAAATATTCTTTAATATTTTGGTCCTTGAAAAAATATTCTTTAATATTTTGGTCCGTGAAAAAATATTCTTTAACAAATCCACGCCTACTTGGGTCCTTGAAAAAATATTCTTTAACAAATCCACACCTACTTGGGTCCTTGAAAAAATATTCTTTAATATTTTGGTCCTTGAAAAAATATTCTTTAACAAATCCACGCCTACTTGGGTCCTTGAAAAAATATTCTTTAATATTTTGGTCCTTGAAAAAATATTCTTTAACAAATCCACGCCTACTTGGGTCCTTGAAAAAATATTCTTTAACAAATCCACACCTACTTGGGTCCTTGAAAAAATATTCTTTAATATTTTGGTCCTTGAAAAAATATTCTTTAATATTTTGGTCCTTGAAAAAATATTCTTTAAAAAATCCACGCCTACTTGGGTCCTTGAAAAAATATTCTTTAAAAAATCCACGCCTACTTGGGTCCTTGAAAAAATATTCTTTAAAAAATCCACGCCTACTTGGGTCCTTGAAAAAATATTCTTTAATAAATCCACGCCTACTTGGGTCCTTGAAAAAATATTCTTTAATATATCCACGCCTATTTTTGGTCCTTGAAAAAATATTCTTTAAAAAATCCACGCCTATTTTTGGTCCTTGAACAAAATATTCTTTAACAAAAACAACCCATGTTTTTGGTCCTTGAAATAATATTATTTAATAAATCCACTCCTATTTTTGGTCCTTGAAAAAATATTTTTTAATAAATCCACGCTTATTTTTGGTCCTTGAACAAATATTCTTTAAAAAACAATTTTATTTCTTTTTTCCAGACAAACATTCCGCAACATCTATGACCTCTTAAAACCCGAAGGTGGTGACTGCCTTTTGGTTACCCTCGCATATCATCCCACATTTGATGCTTATAAACGCATGAGTCAAACCGAGAAATGGTCGGAATATATGTACGATGTTGAATCGTTTATGCCACAACAACAATATTCTCCCGATCCGAAAGGTGATTTCATGGGATTTCTACAAAATGCCGGATTCAGTGATTATCAGGTGGAAGTGCGCAATAAAGTTTTCCCTCATCAAAGTTTAAATGTTTTCAGAAGTAAGTTTTTTTTATGAAATTTTTAAAAAATTATTTTTATTAATTTGTATGTTTTACCCCTTTGCAGGTAACATGGTGGCCGTCAATCCTTTTATCGATCGCCTGCCCAAAGAAAAACAAAGTGAATTTGTTAACGACTTTTTGTCGTGTATTTGTGATATTTTGGGCTTGAATATCACTCGTGTCGATTTCAATGCCACATTTCCAGTTCCGTATAAATTGGCGGTAATGTATGCCAAGAAATCGGGAAATATTTGTTAAGTTTTGTTTATTCTAAGAATAAATGTCCCTATGGGATTTACTATTTATTATATAAAAAGCACGGAGTTTTATTGTTGTTCACGAAAAGTCTTAGGAAATTCACGTCATGAATTTTATTTCTGGGTCTCTTCGTTGCCAAGAAAGATGCCTAACAATTAGAATGGTTGTTTCCGATATTACATTACAAACAGAGCAAATCGAGTGTTTGTCTCATCCCGGATCGGACCAAAAGGATCCAACGACATTTGTCAAATTTACCAATCGTAAATTATCAGTTCAGGTCTGAAATGAATAAAAAAAATTCTTTGAAATCAGTGGAAAAGTCGTTGAGTTCGGTCCGGGCGTATGAGGTGTTCATTAAAAATTTCTAAACTAGATCGAGCTATGCCATTTTAAATTATCTCTCAGTAGGTTTGTTTCGGTGGACAATTTTGTTAAAACTGAAGGCTTTAACCAAATGTGAAGCAATTGACAATTTTTTTATGGAGAAGTTTTGTAACCACTTTTAAAGTTGTATGCCAAATTACAGGCACTTCGGCTAGAGCCTTAAAAAATACATGCCGGACTTTATATGGGGGCTGTACCCAAACAGAATCCTACATATATCGACAATATTCTGTAAAGATGTTTTCGGGCTCCAGGAACACGAAAATAGTGTTACAAATTTTACAATTTCGAAAATTTGGCTGAACCCTAATATGGATATCAATTGAAAAGGTGGGCCTATTGGCAAACTACATCCACGTAGAGTTGAAAGTACGACCAAAATATTAAAAAATATCCAATATCATCATTTTATTCTTGCACATAAATTTCCCACAATTAACAAGTAAAAAAGTCGTTAAGTTCAGCCGAACTTTTTGTACCCTCTACCTCGTGATGTGCATTCAAGTCGAAGCCTAGATCAAGTCCAAAGATGGGATCGATTGGTCAACTCCTTCTGGCACCTCACTCACAAATGGTCAATGTTTTATAAACTTACTAGCAAAATGCCCGCTACTTCGTATGCGGAAAGGGAATACAAAACAATAATAATACTATTTAGTATGGAAATCGTGTATACTGCATAATTTGTTGTACTATAGTTCTGAATTCCACCTCTATTCCTACATCTAATATCAAGTTTATTACCATTTATTACTCTTCATACTATTTTCCGAAATATCTTTCTTATTTCCATTACGCAGATTAAAAAACAGTAAGGAAAGAAGTAAAGTCGGGCGGGGCCGACTATATGATACCCTTCACCACTTTGGGCATATTCAACAGATGAATGCCAACAGACGTCGAATTCTGCAACCTATACTAAATTTTTTATTTGTTCAGATATAGGGTTGCTTCTTACAATGGGACAAAATTACCTAAAATCGGGTGATTTCAAGACATTCCACATTTCAAAACTTTAGTTCGTTATGGAAAATTTTTAAATCGGACGAAGATATATATTGCGCTATATCTAAATCTGAACCGATTTTCAGGAAACTTAACACACATCATTCTAGACTTAATTCATTACGCTATGTCAAATTTCGTGCAAATCGAATAATATATAGGGACTTTGGTACACCATTTATCTTAAATCGGACGAAAATATATATGGGAGCTATATCTAAATCTGAACCGATTTTCAGGAAACTTAACACACATCATTCTAGACCCTATTCATTATGCTGCGTCAAATTTCGGGCAAATCAAAAGATATATAGGGACTTTGGTACACCATTTACCTTAAATCGGACGAAGATATATATGAGAGCTATATCTAAATCTGAACCGATTTTCAGAAAACTTAACACACATCATTCTAGACCTAAATCATTACGCTATGTAAGTTTCGTGCAAATCGGAAGAAATATAGGGACTTCGGTACACCATTTACCTTAAATCGGACGAGGATATATATGGGAGCTATATCTAAATCTGAACCGATTTTCAGGAAACTTTACACACATCTTTCCAGATTTAATTCAGTACGCTGTGCCAAATTTTGTGCAAATCGAAGGATATATAGAGACTTTGGTGCACTATTTACCTTAAGTCGGACGAAAAAATATATGGGAGCAATATCTAAATCTGAACCGATTTTTCCCAATTTCAATAGGGTTCGTCTTTGGGCCAATTAAGTGACCTGTGCCAAATTTCATCCACATCGGATCATAAATGCGACCTGTACTTTGTTAACAAAAATACATGGACGGACGGACAGACGGACATGCATAAATCGACTCAGAAAGTGATTCTATGTATATTCTCAAAAGCAACCATGGGTCTATCTCGATTATTTTTGCCTGTTACAAACATATGCACAAAGACATAATACCCTGTACCACAGTGTGGTGAAGTGCACATCGAGTTTCCAAAGTTGTCTCCTACTGCACTTTAACTAATCTACATTCCAGATCTAAATTTTTCCAAATTTAGTACCATTTAGTACTTTTAATTCCACCAAATTAAGATTACTGTTAGAGTGTAGGATTGATGTAGTTTTAGAAATTTTTACTTAAGTACTAAAAGTAAAATTTTACCAAATTTAGTACTTTTCGTACAAATTTCCAAATGTACCTCAATTTCCAAATATACCTCAAATTTAAGATTCCCGCTCACACAAAACGAATTGTACCATATTTAGTACCCTTTAGTGCTTCTCGTATCCATAAGTACGTAATTCCAATACTACTTTAATTTTGTAATATTCATTCCAAATTTAAGTTTTCCATCTTTATCCGTTTACTTAAATCTAAATTGTACCAAATTTTGTACAAATTAGTACACAAACTACGACATATCTGAATCCTGCACTCCAACTGTAATATTAATTAAAAATTTTAAAATTTCATCCCTATCCGTTTACACAAATGTAAACTATTTGGTACCATTTAGTGCTTTATGTTTCTATAATTAAGAATTTCCTAAACTATGCCAATCCTATACTCCAGCAGTAATTTTAATTCCAAAATTCTGGAGTCCAGCTCTATCCGTTCACACATAATCACGTTGTACCAAATATAGTACCATTTAGTACACATAAGTACTATGCTTCCATATCTAAATTCTATATTCCAACAGCAACCATTATTCCAAATTTTAGGTTTCCAGCTCTATCCGTTCACTCAAATCCCAATTGTACCTAATCTAGTGCCGTTTAGTACTTTTCGTACACATTAGTACGAGTTTCTAAGCATATCTCTATAGCTCAATCTTCAACAGAAATCTAAATTCTAAATTTCAAGTTTCCAGTTCTATCCTTCCAAGCAAAACCCAAATTGTACTAAATTTAGTACCATATAGAAAATTTCGTACCAATAAGTACGAATTTCATAATCTACCCAATTTGAAGACTCCAACTCTATCTGCTGACTTAAATCTAACTTACACCAAATTTAGTACCATTTAGTACTTTTCGTACAAATAAGTACGATTTTTTAAAGCTACTCCAATCCTGTGCTCCAATAGTATTCCTACTTCCGATTATATGGATTCCATCTCTACACACTCAACTGAATGCAAATTGTACAAAATTTAGTACAATTTTGTACTTTTTATACACATAAGTACGAATGTCTTAAACCAGTTCCATACATCAACACCACTTCCCAACATGTATTCCATTTAAAATTATAATATATATAATTATATATAAATATATAAAACCAGTGAGCGGAGCAGTATAGTCGGACGGGGCCGACCATACGATACCCTACACAACTACCACGGAACTCAAATTGTCTGCGGATGTTTATTCCGAGCCTGGGCAATATTTCGTGATATTTGCACCCTCTTGCCCGATTAGAGGTAAACAGCACATCTTCCTCACACTGACATATTTTCCGAATATTACGAGTATTCAGTAGAGCTATTGTCCAGATTCCCTTCACAGTAAGTTGTGTTGTGATGTTCGGCTTTCGACTCGAAAATAACACAAAAAATTAAGTTTTCGGTCCACTTCATTCCAAAATTATTATCTGATCATCACCGAAAATTATAGGCGTTGTCCTTGACCATAACCGGAACCTCATGGAACATTTCAAAGCGATCAGCGCTATAGTTCCGCTCTCTAGAGTGATAATGGGTTACTAAATAATATACGAATACGGAGATACCAGTGAATATTTAGGTGTAACTCCCACATCCGAGCACATACAACAATATAATTGGTATTAATTTAAAGGTCAACCAGTCCTCTTGGATATAATATAAACTTCTAGGGTCTATGTTCTTCAGGGGTAAATATATACGCTATAGAATACAAATTTTGTCATTTTTCACACAAAAGTCAGGGTCCATTTGACCCGCTAAATATTGACCGATCTCTACAAAAACAGGCATGCTTATTCTTTGGCCCGATCCCCTTCTCCATGGAAAATTTCACGATGTTCGGGTCATTATTGCGGCCTCTGGAGCGACCAGAAAAACCGACAAAAATTTAGTATATGGTCCATTTCATCCCCTAAATATTAACCGATCTTTTCCAAAAACAATAGGGGTCTTCATTGGCCAGAACCCAACCTACATGCAAAATTTCGTGAAGATTGGTCCATAACTGTGGCCTGTATCGTGTTTACAAATTATAATGGACAGACGGACGGACGGACACACATGTCTAGATCGACTCAGCTAGTCGAGATATGGCGATCGGTATACTTAAAGGTGGGTCTAGGACCAATATTTCGCGGCGTTACAAACTCTTCGGGCTGCACAAAGCTATAATACCCTGACAACATAGTTGTGTAGGGTATAATTATATATAAATACAAAGGGTACCATATTTGTTACATTTTAGTACTTTTCGTACCCTTCCAGTTAGAATTTCCAAAAACCCAGCCTTATCACACGCCTACACACCAACAACAACCCACACTCAAAATTTCAAGTTTCTAGCTTCAGCCGTTTCGTCTGGGCGATGATCTGTCAGTCACTCACTCACTTAACACTAAGCTCTTTTATATATTAAGATAAATCGGGTTTAAGTACCAATCACATTTTCTATAATTGGGTCACGTGCTCCGACGAACCGGCTCGCACTAGCCCAGTTATAAATTCACAATACACCTGCCTCTACTGACATAAATCTATAATCATCTAAACATATATGTAGACAGATTGGGGTTATAAACTAGTTCAATAAACAAACCTCTATGACGATGAACATGAATAAATGTGATACGGAATGAATTCCGCTTATTAAATTACTAGCATATGCCCGCTACTTCGTTAGCGAATATGGGATATACTTAAACATGTATTAACATATTATTTTATTTTCACAGAAAACTGCATATGTCAGAAAAACTAAGACGTCCACACATTAATATCGACCATAAATTAAATCTGAGTATCATTTAGTACCAAATTTCATGATTCGAGTTCAACAGATTCACCCAAATTCATATTATACCAAATTTGGCACACATTATTTCCAAGTGTACCCATCCCAACCATCCAACAAAACTTTCTGCATACCACGATCATACACCCTCACAATGATTCCAAATTGAAATTTCAGGATTCCAAGTCTATGGTTCAGCCACAAATTTCAGAATTCCAAATATATCGGCTCATCCACAATTCAATGTGTACCAAATTTAGTACACAGTAGTACGAATTTCCAAAGCATCCTACTTAACCCAAAATTCTTTCGGTTTACCAAAAATTCACATTGTACCGAATTTAGTACACAGTAGTACCGATTTCCAAAACATTCTACATACCCCAATCCTACACCCCCACTGTGATCCTAAATCCAAGTTTTAGGATTCCAACTCTATCGGTTCACCCACAATTCAAATTGTACCAAATTTAGTACATTAGTACACATTTTTAAAACTTCCTAAATATCACGATCTTACACCTCAACAGTGATCATGATTCTAGCACTATTGGTTCTCCTAAAATTAAAATTGTACCAAATTTAGTACCATTTAGTACCCATGATTATAAAAAATTGCTTAAATTGAATCCTGACCCTAATCCTACACCCCTACAGAGATCCTGACTCCAAATTGCATTGTTCCAATTGTTGTTATTTTCCCATGAATATAAAAGAGCGTGTTTTGACCTGCTCAAAATATTTGCAACTGCATACAGGTACAGGGTATTATGTCTTTGTGCATATGTCTGTAACAGGGAAAAATAATCGAGATAGACCCATGGTTCCTTTTGTGAATATGCATCACTTTCTGAGTCGATTTATGCATGTCCGTCCATCCGTCCATGTATTTTTGTTAACAAAGTTCAGGTCGCATTTATGATCCGATCTGGATAAAATTTGGCACAGGTCACTTAATTGCCCCAAGGACGAACCCTATTGAAATTGGAGAAAATCGGTCCACGTTTAGGCATAGCTCCCATATAAGGATACCCCCAAATTTTCGGTATTTTGAGGTTCTCTAGCGCGTTTTTTAACTGAATTCGCTGAAATTTGGTACTTTGAGTTCTTATTGGGTAGCAAATCTCTCCACTAAAAATTATAAATATGAGTACATATTATAGCTCCCCCCAATTTTGCGGTATTTTGGGTGTTTTGATCGGATTTTTCGACCGAACTCGCTGAAATTTGGTTCTTTGAGTTCTTATTGGGTAGCAAATCTCCCTTCTAAAAATTATAAATATAGGTCAATTTTTTCGGGTAGCCCCCATATAAGGGTACCCCCAGTTTTCGGTATTTTGGGGTTCTTGGGCTCGTTTTATAACTGAATTCTCTGAAATTTTGTACATTGGGTTCTTATTGGGTACCAAATTATTCCACTAAAAATTATAAATATAGGTCCAGTTTTTCTGGTAGTCCCCATACCCCCAAATTTTTGGTATTTTGGGGGTTCTGATCGTATTTTTCGACCGAATTGACTGTAATTTAGTTCGTCGAGTTCTTATTAGGTAGCAAATCTCTCCACTATAAATAATAAATATAGGCCAATTTTTTCGGGTAGCCCCCATAGAAGGGTACTCCCCAATTTTCGTTATTTTGGGGTTCTTGAACGCGTTTTTCAACCAAATTCTTTGTAATTTGGTTTTTTGTAGTCGTATATGGTAACAAACCTCCTTCCCAAAAATTATTAGTATTCGCCCCCTTTTAGGGGTGTTCCCCTTATAACCTCCATTTTATACCCTTCACCACTCTGTGGTACGGGGTATTATGTCTTTGTGCATATGTTTGTAACAGGCAAAAGGAAACGATATAGACACATGGTTCCTTTTGAGAATATGCATAGAATCACTTTTTAAGTCGATTTATGCATGAAATAGGAAATAGGTCTAGAATGATGTGTGCTAAGTTTCCTGAAAATCGGTTCCGATTTAGATATAGCTCCCATATATATATTGAAATGGTATCAGGTCCACCTTTACATACATTCATAACCAGTGAACGGAGCTGTATGGTCGGACGGGGCCGACCATATGATACCCTACACAACTACCACGGAACTCTAACTTTATGCAAATATTTTGTGATATTTGCACCTTCTTGATCGATTATAGGTCAACAGCTCTACTTTCTAACCCATTTTTTTCTTGAAGTGTATTTTTACGACATAAAATAAAAAACTGGTCACTTTAGGTTTTGGTTGATTTGGCCCTCGGAATATTGACCGATCATCATCTAAACAGCCGCTCTAAATATGCGATGTTCTGCATAAAATAATTGCCTCTAGAGCGACTAGAAAATCTGATAAAATTAAAGTTTTCCGTTCATTGCACCCCCTGAATGAAATCTCAACTTCGCCGAAAACTATAGGTGTCGTCCTTGACCATAATCGGAACTTCCTTTACAATTTGAAAGCGATCAACGCTACATGTCCGCCCTCTAATGGAGTAATAGTAATACTATACACATAGTCACATTTACCCTATTATGTATAACTCCCATATCTGAGCACACCCGACAATATAATTTGTATCAATTTGAAGGTCAACAACTACTCTTGGATATACTATCAACTTCTCGGGTATATGTTCTTCAGGAGCATGTATATACGCCCCAGAATAAAAATTTTGTAATTTTTCACACAAAAGTCAGGGTCAATTTGACCCGCTAAATATTAACCGATCTTTATCAAAACAGGAATGCTTATTCTTTGGCCCAATCCCCTTCTCCATGTAAATATTCCACACGTTTGGGTCTTAATTGTGGCCTCTGGAGCGACCAGAAAAACCGACAAAAATTAAGTATTTGATCCATTTCATCCCCTAAATACACTGTGCGACACGAAAATTTTTCAGGGGTTCTAATGTACCAATTTTGTTTAGTTGAAGTCCCTGGACCACGAAAATACCTTTGGTTTTTCTGGGTCACTTCGAAAATTAATTTTATAACGGTAAATATAGAGAAAAACGTGGTTTCATAGATTTTCCATTTGAAACTTGAATAACTTATTTACTTTATAACGGATTTATATTATTCTTTTTTTTCATTCGAAGAGTACAATTTTTCCTTTCAAACAAGATATATATTTGGTAAATTGGTTGAGGATTGGCTGAGTTACAGCGGTTGAAATGTGAAAAAATACGCATAAAATGACAAAATTTATTTTTCTTCGTACTGTACGATGAAATTATGATATCAAGCCATATAAGTTTTATTGTATTACGGGGAAGAAAATTAAATTAGCTTTCGAAAATGATAAAAATCAAAAAAATCGGTTAAAAAATGGATGACTTATACACATTTTTGTATTGATTCTATGCATATTCTCCAAAGGAAATATAAATCCGTTATAAAGTAAATAAGTTATTCAAGTTTCAAATGGAAAATCTATGAAATCACGTTTTTCTCTATATTTACCGTTATAAAATTAATTTTCGAAGTGACCCAGAAAAACCAAAGGTATTTTTGTGATCCAGGGACTCCAACTAAACAGAATTGGTACATTAGAATTCTTGAAAAAAAAAAAAAAATTTGTTATTTTGTAGCACAGTGATATTAACCGATTTTCATTGGGCCGGATCCATCCTACATGCAAAATTTCGTGAAGATTGGTCCATAACTGTGGCCTGTATCGTGTTTACAAATTATAATGGACAGACGGACGGACACACATGTCTAGATCGATTCAAGCTATAATACCCTGACAACATAGTTGTGTAGGGTATAATTATGCTAGGTTTTATTCAAATTGACATGGAATTTTTCATAGATTTCAGAATGCTATGTGTATCGGGTTTTTAACAGGTTAAAGTATATATGAAAATCACACATTTAATTTCGCCCGATTCCATTTCAAAGGTCCTCTAAAGAGTATATGTCTGTTCTATCGACAGGATATTGTATATATTAGCATCTCTTGTATGTACCCAAAGTGGTGAAGGGTGCCATGTAGTCGGTCCCGTTCGACTTTTGAACTTCCCTTACTGGTTTTATTGTTGAATCTGTTTTGAAAACCACTAAAATTATATTTATGTATATATGTCACGTGCGGCCTTATATTGTTCTGGTCCAGTTATAAATCGGCTATTAAATATCAAAATGCAGCTCTATTGAAGTTGGTATATAATTATCTCAATATGTAGATAATGGGGTTAACTAGTTTAATTATTGTGTCGCATTATTGATTTTTCTACAAATTGAATGAACACGTTTTATTTTTAATTTTCATTTGAAAAAAACTCTATAAAATGCATTATGGTCCGAACAGTGTCTAGTCATAACCCTCGAACAGCATTGAACACTAGTTGTCAAATCAAACGAGGAAATGAATCAACCGGCCTTATATCACAAATCACATTGTGCCCTCAAAGCCGATATTGGAGAAATTATTGAAAAATATTCAAAGAAATTAAAGTGGCGTAGAGATGGCAAAGATTCCCTTTTGGATGTTGGTTCGGGTCCTGGTGATGTCTTTATGGAATATATTCTACCCATAATGCCTAAGGGATTCTCAAGGGCAGTTTGTTCGGATATATCGGAGGATATGAATGATTTTGCAAAGGCTTATTATTCGAATTGTGATCAAAGATGTGAATTTCGGGTGTTAGATATAACCACAAACAGAAGTATGTCTAAGGATCTTCTAGGACAATTTGATCATGTAATATCGGCATTGTGTCTGCACTGGGTTCAGGATTTGAAGTATGTGAAACTAAACTTTATTAAAAAAAAAATAATAAATTATTTTTTTTGTTTTTCTAGTTTGGCCTTGCAGAATATTTCGAATTTATTGTATGCGGAAGGTGGTGATTGCCTTCTGATTTTTATGTCCACCCACAACATCTTCGATGCTTATCATTATACCAGTCGCTTTTCTCGTTGGTCGGAATATATGAAAGATTCAAATCGTTGCATATCACCTCTGCATTATTCAAATGATCCGAAGGCGGATTTCAGGCAGTTGATGGAAGAAAATGGATTTTGTGATATTTCCATTGATATTAAATCGAGAATTTTCGATTACGGGAATATGGAGAATTTGAAAGGTGGGTTTGAAAAATTTTCTGGAGAGGTTTCGAAACAGCTATAAAATGCTATATCTAAATGATCGTTTTTTATATATTTTTTATATTTTTAGAAAATGTAAAATCTGTTTGTGGTACCTTGGAGCATATCCCCATTTCATGTCATTCGGAATTTCTAAATGATTTTGTATCGGTAATGGTGGAATATGCAAAAACGGTTAATAGTATTAATTCGAATTCTAAATATGTAATGAAATATGATTTAATTATTGCGTATGGTCGAAAGCCATCAGCTGAAAATAATAAAATAATCCAACAATAAGTAAAAATACATTAATCGGATGGGTCACTATTGACGTCGAATCACTAATGTTGCATGGGTATATAGGTTTGCTGCTCGGAGACCTTTGGTCCATTGAAATGAGAGAAGAGAGAAAATAGAAAAGTTAAAAAAGGTAAAGGAAGAGGAAGTGATTAGTGATTACGGATCTCTCAGGATTTGCAGGTCGGACGACTCGCACATCGTGCAAGCTCATCAGATATTTCATTCCCATTTATTACACACACAGCAGATCAACTTTAAAGTTACGAACCCCTTGTCAATTTATAGTAAGTGACTTGAATGCCTTAAAATCCATCTGCCCAGGATTTCCAGTTCGAAAATGTACCATGTTTGTCAGTGTTAGTTTACGGTTTGGAATAGCTCTCATAGAATGCTACATCCCATTTTCGGTATGTTGAAGACTTTAACCGGCTTTTTGCTGCAAGGTGACTTATATCCAAATTTCTGCTGATTATATAAGCCCATGTTTTTATATAACTCCACCTTAAAGTTCCGCTTCTTCTTCGGTATTGTACATTTTTATACCCTTCACAACACTGTGGTACAGGGTATTATGTCTTTGTGCATATATTTGTAACAGATAAAATGAATCGAGCTAGACCCATGGTTCCTTTTGAGAATATGCATAGAATCACATTCTGAGTCGATTTATGCATGTACAATTAACGTTTTTGATCCATTCGAACACCTAACTATTAAACGATTCGAATAACAACCAATAAGGAAAGTAGTAAAGTCGGACGGGGCCGACTATATGATACCCTTAACCACTTTGGGTATATTCAACAGATAAATCCTAACAGACGTCGCATTTTTAAAGGACCAGCAAATTTAAATTGGGTCCATAAACATGTCATTCTTCAACTTATACTATTTTTTTCATTTGGTCAGATAAAGAAGCTATATCTAAAACTGAACCGATTTCAACGATTTCAGGAAATTTAACACACATCATTCTAGACCTAATTCATTACGCTGTGCCAAATTTCATGCAAACCGAAAGATATTAAGGGGTTTTGGTGCACCATTTACCTTAAATTGGACGAAAATATATATGGGAGCTATATCAAAATCTGAACCGATCTTCACCAAACTCAGCAGACATCATTCTGCACTTAATACAGAACGCTCTGCCAAATTTCGCGCAAATCGAATGGTATATAGGGACTTTGGTGCACCATTTCCACTAAATCGGACGAAAATATATATGGGAGCTATATATAAATCTGAAGCGATTTTCACACATCATTCTGCACTTAATACAGAACGCTCTGCCAAATTTCGTGCAAATCGAGTGATATATATATAGGGACTTTGGTGCACCATTTACGAAGAATCGGACGAAATTATATATGGGAACTATATCTAAATCTGAACCGATTTTCACGAAACTTAGCACACATCATTCTAGATTTAATTGAATACGATATGCTAAATTTCGTGCAAATCGGATTTACATTAAATCGGACGAAAATATATATGGGAGCTATATCTTAATCTGAACCGATTTTCATGAAACTCAGCACACATCATTCTAGGCCTAATTCATTACGCTGTGCCAAATGTGCAAATCGAATGATATATAAGGACTTTGGTGCACCATTTCCACCAAATCGGACGAAAATATATATGGGAGCTATATCTAAATCTGAACCGATTTTCACCAAACTCAGCACACATCATTCTAGAGCCAACTCATTCCGCTGTGCCAAATTTCGTGCAAATCGAATGATATATAGGGACTTTGGTGCACCAGTTACATAAAATCGGACGAAACTATATGGGAGCTATATCTAAATCTGAACCGATTTTCATGAAACTCAGCACACATCATTCTTGGCCTAATTTATTACCCTGTGCCAAATTTCGTGCAAATCGAAAGATATATAGGGACTTTGCTGGGCCATTTACATTAAAGCGGACGAAAATATATATGGGAGCTATATATAAATCTGAACCGATTTTCAGGAAACTTAACACACATCATTCTCTACTTCATTCATTACGCTGTGCCAAATTTCGTGCAAATCGAAAGATAAATAGGGACTTTGGTGCACCATTTACATTAAATCGGACGAAAATATATATAGGAGCTATATATAAATCTGAACCGATTTTCACCAAACTCAGCACACATCATTCTGCACTTAATACAGAACGCTCTGCCAAATTTCGTGCAAATCGAATGATATAAAGGAACTTTGGTGCACCATTTACGTAAAATCGGACGAAACTATATATGGGAGCTATATCTAAATCTGAACCTATTTTCACGAAACTTAGCACACATCATTCTAGACTTAATTGAATACAATATCGAAAGATATATAGGGACTTTGCTGGGCCATTTACATTAAATCGGCCGAAAATATACATACGAGCTATATCTAAATCTGAACCGATTTTCAGGAAACTTAACACACATCATGCTCTACTTCATTTATTACGATGTGCCTAATTTCGTGCAAATCGAGAGATAAATAGGGACTTTGGTGCACAATTTACATTAAATCGGACGAAAATTATCAATTTCAATAGGGTTCGTCCTTGGGCCAAATAATGCCAAAAATTCAACCAAATCGGATTATAAATGCAACCTGTACTTTGTTCACAAAAATACATGGACGGACAGACAGATAGACAGACGGACGGACAGTCGGACTGACGGACGGACAGACAGACGGACATGCGTAAATCGACTCAGAAAGTGATTCTATGCATATTCTCAAAAGGAACCATTTGTCTATCTCGTTTCCTTTTGCCTGTTACAAACATATGCACAAAGACATAATACCCTGTACCACAGTGTGGTGAAGGGTATAAAAATAGGTTTCGCATTTCGAAACATATTCGGTAGAGGCATATTTTTAATCGTATCATACAAAATTTTTGAAATCTTTTGGAAAATTCCCTCAAAATATTTAAAACCTTCTGACTAGTTAAGCCGGTAGAAAAGTTTCCTTATCGTTAAGGAATTAAAACCCTTAAAATCGCACCATAAAGCTCTGGAGTTGCTTGAAGGTACTTTACGTCAATTTTTGCAGAAGTTATATTAATGTTCAAAATGCATCATTCCGTTTGTTTGGCCACTGAAATACTTTGCAATGCCCTAGTCGCATTTCTTTGACAATTGGAAGATTTCGTTTTCGAATTTTTATTTTGGTTCCTCAGATGGAGGCTTAAATGATCTGACCAAGTCAAACATAACATAAATTCGGAAATGTAATATTTAGAATTAATACAACAGAAAAGTTCCTCTATTGTCATTAAAATACATTTATATTTTAAGTTACCCAAAAATCGGTGACACGTTTAAAAAGATAGATAATTATCCCAAATTTAACATATTTGATAAGTTATGTCCAGATGCATGTATTTGAATATTAGCAGTGGACTGTACTTCTGAACATCTCAAAATTGATTTAGGCATATTCATCTGTTTGGTATATTTACAATTCCATTTAGGTTCAAGATGATAATTGATTGAGAAGCAAATATCTAAATATAAATGTTAGCTGCATTGCCGCATAACAAAATATTTTTTGTATTAAAGTTATGGTCCAATAATGAGCTACGCACTGACTTGGTTCATACATCTGGGTAAATATGTTAGACACGTGTTTATATTAGAACAATGGAGGACCGTTCATTCGAAGTTGGACAATCAATCAAATTATGTACATATATCGGGTTTGTCAGTGTTGCCGTGTTAAAAAATAAATAAAACTTGGATGTTAAAGAATATTTTTGGGACCCAAACAAGGCGGGATTTTTATAGAATATTTTTTAAGAGACCCATACAAGAAGGGGGATTTTCTAAAAACATTTTTGGAGTACCCATACAAGGAGTGCATTTTTTAAAGATTTTTTTTAGAGGACCAATAGAGGCAACTCTGGCTCTTAATTTATTACTTTTGGCTTTGACATTGTCACGGTCTATATAAAATCCAACAACATCGAAGTGGGAGTAATTAGAACGTTGTTGTTCGTGTTACTCTTCGCTGTTCGAAATTTAACGGATCAACTCACAATGAATAAACCGGCTTTGTATCATAAAGCTCATGGAGATCTTAAACGCGATGTTGGACAACTGATTGCCAAATTTTCCACAAAATTACAATGGCGCCCAAATGGCGGTGATACAGTTATAGATATTGGTACCGGTCCTGGTGATGTTTCCATGAAATATATTTACCCCATAATACCGAAAAATGTTGGACGCATGGTATTTAGTGATATTTCCCTACTGATGTTGGAATTTTTCAAAACACATTATCAAATTCCGGATAAATGTGATTTGAAGCTGTTGGATATTGAAACGAAACAGCCGTTACCCAGTGATATGGAAGGGAAATTTGATCATTTAATATCGAGTTTGGTACTGCATTGGGTACCCGATAATAGGTGAGGTGATTTTAAAATGTTTTTTTTTTTTAATTTTAAAATTTTGGATTTAATATTTTTCGATTTTAGAACTGCCTTGGGCAATATGTACAAACTTCTGCGTCCCGAGGGTGGCGACTGCATTTTGGTCTTCTTTTCCTACAACAGTGTCTTCCAGGCCAATTACATGATGAGTTTGAATCCCAAATGGTCTCAATATATTACCGATGTTAATCAGTTTATTGCCCCATTGCAATTTAGCAAAAATCCCACCACTGAATTTCGTGATATGATGGAAGATGCTGGATTCTCAAACATTTCTATGGATACTAAGAAGACCTATTATCGCTATAAGGATATGGAGGAATTTAAGGGTAAATATTAAGTATTTTTTTCAGGACATCAGAAGATCATTGCTGTTGTCTTTTTCGTTGCTGTTGTCTTTGTCTCTATAGAAAGTCTAATACCTGTCTGTGGATTTTTTGATTTTATACCGAAATCTCGTCAAACTGAATTTTTGGACGATTATGTGAAGGCCTTTGAAGAAGTTGCTAAGGAAAGTCGTAATTTATCTCCTGAAGAATCAAAGTGTGTGGTGGTGGCCGATATCATTGTGGCATATGGACAAAAATTACCCACTCAAATTTCATTAAATTAAAAAAAAGATAAATAATAAAATAATTATTTTAAGTGACCACTGAAGGCGTGGATTTTTTAAAGAATATTTTTAAGGGACCCATAGAAGACGTAGATTTTTAATAGAATATTTTTTCAAGGACTACCAAAGACGAGTATATTTTTTACTTACTTACTTACTTAGCTGGCTTGTGGCAGAACTTTCGTTCCATAAGCCGAGCATAAAAAAAATTCCAGGCGCATCGGTATTTTGCGTAGTTTTTCCAAGTTGAAAGACCATATTCGGCAATGTTATCTTCCACTTGGTCTTTCCACCTGATTCGTGGGCTTCCCCTTCTGCGTGAACCATCAGCTGGTTCGCTTTTATATGCCTTCTGGGCTGGGGCATCTTCATCCATTCTCACAACATGAACTAGCCAGCATAGCAACTCTGCAGCTTAATAGTCTAACAATGTCGATGTCCGAGAATAGCTGGTACAACTCATGATTCATTTGACGGCGATATTCACCATCAACGCAGATCGGCCCATAGATCTTTCGGAGAATTTTTGTCTCAAAAACTCCAAGAGCTGCCTCATCTGCTTGCGTTAGTACCCATGCTTCAGATCCTTATAACAGCACGGGTAGTATCAGCGTCTTGTAGAGTGTGAGTTTGGTCTGGCGGGAGGTGGCCTTGTTTCTAAACTGCTTACTCAGACCGTAGTAGCATATGTTGGCCATCACTATCCTTCTCCGAATTTCGAAACTGATGTCATTCGTTTTGTTTATGGCGGTACCGAGGTATATAAAATCGTTGACTACCTCGAAACTGTAGTTCTCAAGTTCCACAGTTGGTCCGAGTCTACTGGACGTCTTGCGCGTTGATACCATCAGCTTGGTCTTCTCGCATTTTACGACCAGACCCACTTTGGCACACTCCTTCTCAATTTGTTCAAAGGTAACTGTTACCGCTCTCAGTGTTCGACCCATTATGTGGATGTCATCGGCGTAGGCGAGTAACATGTGTTGTTTGGTGTACAGAGTGCCACTCACTTTTGCCTCTCGTATGACCTTTTCCAGCTGGATGTTAAAAACGTCACACGGCAAATTAAAGGGTTCCTAGAGGTCCTTTCCGACATTAACGGCTGATCTTGTGCCAGTTAAAGTTATCCTGCATAGCCGTATTAATTTTGCAAGAATGCCAATCCCTGACATTGCTTTATACACCTCTGAATGGATAGGGATTTCGAATGCGGCTTTATAGTCGACGAATAGGTGAGTGAAAATCTGGTCAATGATGCATTTGCCAGGTCTGAAGCCGCATTGATATGGTCCAATAATGTCATTGACCATAGCACTTTATATCCGATGGGAAGGAGACTTATTTGTCTATAGTTGGCATCTATCGTCTTGTCTCCTTTTTTGTCCATGGGACACAGGATATTGAGGTTCCAACCATTGGGCATGTATTCTTATAGCCAAATTGTACTAATCAGCTGATGCATGCTCCTTACCAGCATCTGACCACTACTCTTGAATAGTTCGGCTTGTAACCCATCGCCACCTGCTGATTTATTATTCTTCAGCCGATTGATTGCTATTCTGACTTCACTTTGGCTAGGTGGTATACACTCTATACCATCATCTATTATTGGTTCTGGGGTATCCACTTCACCGCTAATATTTGATACCAGAAGCTTTTCAGATCCTCAGCACGCTGTCTGTATCTGTCACCAGGTTTCCTTCTTTATCTCTACATAAGGATGTGCTTGCATCAAAGTCTTCGGTTTGGTGTTTTACCCGTTGGTAGAATTTTCGGACTTCATTCTGACTCCTGTACATCTCGATTTGCTCACGCCCACTGGTTTCCTGATCTTTTTTCTGCAAATCCTGAACGTACCACGGATTTCTTGATGGTGGTATTTGGTACCCAAGTGTTGGTTTTGCTGCATTTTGTAGGGAGTGGACAATTCTCTATGCTTCACTGTGCTTCTATATTATTATTGGGACAAGGGGGCTTTTGTCAAGCAGTTGAGTAAGTTGAGCGGAGTAGGCTTTTGCTATCTGTTGTGTTTGCAGCTTTTCGATGTCAAATTTCCGTGTTACATTAGATCGCACCTTTGCTGCTACATTAAGACGGGTGCGTACCATGGCTGCCACAAGGTAATGGTCCGAATCGATATTCGCTCCTCGGATCGATCGGACGTCTAAAATACTGGATGCCTTCCGTCTATCACAACATGATCGATTTGATTTTTCGTTGTTCGATTGGAAGAAATCCAAGTGGCCTTGTGTTTATCGACATGCTTGAACCTGGTGCTGCTAATTACCATGTTTTTTGCTGCCGCGAAGTCAATCAACCACATTCCGTTGTCTGATGTTTCTTCATGGAGGGGCCAAAGATATTTTCCCTTCCGATTTTTGCATTAAAATCTTCTAGCATAATTTTAATGTCGTGGCCAGGGCAACGGTCATATGCTGTTACTAGGCGCTCGTAAAATATGTCTTTGGTCTATTCATTTTTAACTTCGGTCGGAGCATGGGCGCAAATGAGACTGATGTAGAAGAACTTTGCTTATATACGGATTATAGCAATTCGCTTATCTACTGGAGTGAATCTGGAGACGAGGTTTTTTATTCTCCTGTTAACCATAAATCCGTAGCCAAACGTCTCACGTCTCGTTTTATGGCAGCTGTAATACAGGGCGTAATCTTCTGATTTACGTTCGCCATTCCAAGTGTAGATTCGCAGATCGTGGCCCTTTATACGTTTGCGGGGGTCGTAAACATTAGGGGGTTTGGTTTTCTTTTTCTTTGCTTTTTCATTGTAGGTTCGGTTTTTCGAGTGTGGGAGTATATTTTTTAAAGAATATTTTTTCAAGGACCCAAACAAGGCGTGGATTTTGAAACAATATTTTTTACTGACACCAACAAGGCGTGGATTTTTTATAGAACATTTTTTAGGGACTCCAATAAGGCGTGGCTTTTTTATAGAACATTTTTAGGGACTCCAATAAGGCGTGGCTTTTTTAAAGAATTTTTTTCTGATTCCAACAATGTTTGGGGGTTGAAAAATATATTTTGTTAATTCATCAATATGTGGAGTGGCTGAAAAACGGTTGTAAAAAATATACGCTTATAGTAAATAGTGATAATTTATCGAACGCCGCACGTGTTGACAATAAACATGTTTATAATTAACTAAATATATTTTATTGCAATAATTGCTTGACTGGAAACTTAACACCAAATTTATTTATTTAATGGAATAAAATGTTGAATAGTCGTAAAGGCATTAAAAAGGGTTAAGATGTTAAAAATCTATGCCATTAAATATACTCAATGTAGAGCTACTCCATTTACCATGCTAGTAGGTACTAGTTCTCATCTTCACTTCACGCTTTTGGAGCCATCGACACGTACAGACGCACACACACACACGAGATGAATAAACCAGCATTGTATCACAAATCCCACAGCTCAGTGAAAGAAGATGCTGGACAATTGTTAACAAAATTTGCCGAGAAGTTGCAATGGCGTTCAGACGGCGGTGATCACCTCTTAGAAATTGGTTGTGGACCCGGTGATGTTTCTATGGGTTATCTTTATCCCTTGATGCCAGAAAATTACGGAAAATTGATCTTCAGTGATGTATCAACGAAAATGTTGGATTTCTTTGAGAAAAATTATGACCTTCCGAAAAAATGTCATTTAAAGCAGATCGATATTGTCGGGGCAAATTCTTTACCCACTGATATGTTGGGTCAATTTGATCATGTAATACCCTGCTTGGTACTACATTGGATACCAGATAATAGGTGTGTATTTTGTAAGTCATATTGAAAATATAAATGAATTATAATTTATTTATTTGTTTTGATTTACAGAACAGCTTTGGAAAATATTTTCAAACTATTGCGTCCGGAGGGCGGTGATTGTATTTTAATATTCTTTGGTTATAACAACATATTCGAGGCCAATCACATCATCAGTTCCAATCCCAAATGGTCGCAATATATCAAAAATGTAAATCGTTTTGTATCACCTTTACATCATAGCCAAAATCCCAAAGAGACATTTTGTAAAATGATGGAAAATTCGGGATTTTGTAATATTAGTATTGAGCTAAATCAGGGTATATATTATTATGATAATTTTGAAAATTTCAAAGGTAAGCCGTATTAAACAATAATTCACATGGATATTTATTTCAATGTGTTTTGCTTCTCTTGTGCTTTTAGAAAATATAATTCCCGTTTGTGGCATTTTCGATTTTATACCCAAATCAAGGCATGACGAATTCTTGGAAGATTATTTTAATGTAATGGCCAAAACTACTGCGAAAAAACTTGGATTGCCTTTGAAGGATTCCATGTATGCCGTATCTTCTGATATGTTTGTGGTGTATGGTCAAAAGAGGCCTTGACGATGAGATATTTTTTGAATTAAATTAAAAAATCCTAAAAACTAATTTCTTCTGCAAAATGTTATTTAAAAACCAGTGAACGGAGCAGTATAGTCGGACGGGGCCGGCCATACGATACCCTACACAACTACCCCGTAACTATAAATTTCTGCGGATGTTTATTCCGAGCCTGGGCAATATTTCGTGATATTTTCACCCTTTTACCCGATTAGAGGTCAACAGCACATCTTTCTTACACTGACATATATTCCGAATATTTCCAATACTCACTACAGCCCTTCTAATTAGTTGTCCAGATTCCCTTCACCGTGAGTCGTGTTGCGATGTTTGGCTTATAATTGTGCACTATTTTCTGTATTTTTTAAATTTTGGGTCCACTTCATCCCAAAATTATTATCTGATCATCACCGAAAATTATAGGCGTTGTCCCTGACCACAACTGGAATTTCATGGAAAATTTCAAAGCGATCTGCGGGTTACTAAATAATATTTCAGAACGTAATCACCTGTCAATTTTTAAGTGTAACTCACACATCTGAGTACATACGACCATATAATTGGTATCAATTTAAAGATCAGCCACTCCTCTTGGATATACTATCAACTTCTCGGGTCTATGTCCTTCAGAGGCAAATATTTACGCCATAGAATACAAATTTTGTAATTTTTCACACAAAACTCAGGGTTCATTTGATCTTCTAAATATTGGCTAATCTTTATCAAAACAGGCATGCTGATGCTTTGGCCCGATCCCCTTCTCCATGTAAAATTTGCGATATCTGGAGAGACCATAATTGCGGTATCTGGAGCGACCAGAAAAACGATAAAAATTAAGTATTTGGTCCATTTCATCCCAAAATTTTAACCAATCTTTATCAAAAACAATAGGGGTCTTCATTGGCCAGAACCCATCCTACATGAAAAATTCCGTAAAGATTGGTCCATAACTGTGGCCTGTATCGTGTTTACAAATTATAATGGACAGACGGACGTATGAACACACATGTCGAGATCGACTCAGCTAGTCGAGATATGACGATCGGTATACTTAAAGGTGGGTCTGGACCAATATTTCGCGGCGTTACAAACTCTTTTGGGCTGCACAAAGCTATAATACCCTGACAACATAGTTGTGTAGGGTATAAAAAATTTGCCTTGTTGTTGGACCTATATTTATATAAAGGAAAGCGCTTAGTCTGAGGACGATTGCTGATTCTTGGGACAAATTGCAAATTATTGCTGCATCGGGAGGAAGAATTGCTTGTACCCTGGGATAAATCAAACATAGTGAGGGCCCCTTGGAACACTATCAACATCTACCCACGGACTAAGTACATTTGCATACTCAAGCCGAGTTAGGAGTTTGTTTAATTGCATATTGGACAAATTCCGGGGTTGTCAAAATAGGCAATCCTCAAACAGCCGTTGAAAAATATATATATTTTTTTAAATTAAAAAAATAAATACTAGATTCACTTTCTGAGTCGATTTATGCATGTGCGTCCGTCCGTACATGTATTTTTGTGAACAAAGTACAGGTCGCATTTATTAACCGATTTAGATGAAATTTGGCACATATCACTTATTTGGCCCAAGGACGAACCCTATTGAAATTAGAGCAAATCGGTTCAGATTTAGATATAGCTACCATATATATTTTCGTCCGATTTAATGTAAGTGGTGCACAAAAGTCCCTATATATCTTTCGATTTACACGAAATTTGGCATAACGTATTGAATTGATCCTAGAATGATACCTGCCAAGTTTAGTAAAAATCGGTCCAGATTTAAATATAGCGCCCATATATAGTTTCATCCGATTAAATGTAAATTGTGCACCAAAGTCACTATATATCATTCGATTTGCACGCAATTTTGCGTAGCATACTGAATTGATCCTGGAGTGTAGTCTGCCAAGTTTCGAGAAAATCGGGTCAGATTTAGATATAGCTCCCATATATATTTTCCTCCAATTTAAAGTAAATGGGGCACCAAAGTCGATTTGCACGAATTTTGGTATAGCGCACTGAATTAAGTCGAGAATAATGTGTGCTAAGTTTCGTGAACATTTGTTCAAATTTAGATATATCTCCCATATAAATTTTCGTCGGATTTTATGTAAATGGTGTGCCAATGCCCCTCTTTTCCTTCAATTTGCACAAAATTTGGTATAGTGCGTTGAATTGAGTCTAGAATAGTGAGTTCCAAGTTTCGTCAAAATTGTTTCAGATTTAGATATAGCTCCCATACATAATTTCGTCAGATTTTATGTTAATGGAGCACCAAAGCCCCTATATATCTTCCGATTTGCACGAACTAATGATGTGTGCTAAGTTTCGTGAAAATCTGTTCAGATTTAAATATAGCTCCCATATACGTTTTCGTTCGATTTAATGTAAATTGTGCACTAAAGAACCAAAGTTTGGCCGACTGGCACACATTTTTGTACAATGTACTGAAGTTACTATAACCGTTCGTGTGTCAAGTGTTTTGGAATCGGTTCAGATTTACATATATCTCCTATATATACTTTCGTCCGATTTTAAGTAAATGGTGCACTATATAGCCATAGCCAGGCCGATTGACACAACGTACTGAAATTAATATAGATTAATCTCTGACAAGTTTCCTTGAAATCGGTTCAGATTTAGATATAGCATAGCTTCCATATATAATTTCGACCTATTCATGTTTATTGTACACCATATAATCAATGGGTGCCTGATTGAGATTCAATTTTAAACAGTGCAGCGTACCAAAAAGAGCGTGTTTAATGTTTGCTTAAAATCTATTAACAAAATTTAGAATAGGTTGCAGAATGGCATGTGTTGGGATTGATGTTAGTCGGTTCACATAGATAAAGATCGCATATTTAAGTTCGTTCAATTTCATGTCGATGTTCCTTCGAAAAGGCGGCGTCTGTCAGGATACATATATAGAATATACCCAAAGTGGTGAAGGGTATCAAATAGTCGGTCCAGTCCGACTTTACTACTTTCCTTACTGGTTTATATTAAAATAGTTATCTGATTTGTTCTGCGTTTTGGGTTTTGGTTCTAATATTCTGTTGTAATCATTTCACCTGCGGAGGATAGCGAGATAAAAAACTAGAACGTAAAGTTCGATAATTATCTATATATAAACTATAGCTCGGTTTTAGGCCTAGGCCTAGCCCCTGTATGGGAGGTACCAAAAGGAGTGGACCGATATTCCCCATCTTTGAACTTGAACTAAGTTTGGAAGAAATAATCAGATAGGCTAAGTTTGGATGAAATCAAAATTTTCTGCAATGGATTTGGTCCAAGGAAACATGGGTTATAGAACCAATATTTCGATGAGGCATATTTTCATTGTATACACCCTCATTAGCCATAAGGCTAATAATATTTTAAAACCAGTGAGCGGAGCAGTATAGTCGGACGGGGCCGACCATACGATACCCTACACAACTACCACGGAACTCTAACTCTCCGCGAATGTTTATTCCGAGTCTATGCAATATTTCGTGATATTTGCCCCCTCTTACCCGATTAGAGGTCAAAAGCACCTCTTCCTTACATTTTCGAATACTCGAAAACACACAAAAAATTAAGTTTTCGGTCCATTTCATCCCAATACTATTATCAGATCATCACCGAAAATTGTAGGCGTTGTCCTTGAGCATAACTGGAACTTCATGGAAAATTTCAAAGCGATCAGCGGATATTTTCGCCCTCTAATGTGGTAATGGGTTACTAATAATATCTGAATACCTAAGCACCTGTAAATATTTGAGTGTAACTCGCAGATCTGAGTAGATACATAACTGTATTTGGTGTTAATTTAAAGGCCATCCACTCCTCTTGGATATGCTATCAACTCCTCGGGTCTATATCCTTCAGGAGTAAATATATAAACCCCAGAATAAAAATGTTGTAATTTTTCACACAAAAGTCAGGGTTCATTTGACCCGCTAAATATTGACCGATCTTTATCAAAACAGCCATGCTTATTCTTTGGCCCGATCCGCTTCTCCATGCAAAGTTTCACGATGTTCGGACCGTTGTTGCGGCCTCTGGAGCGACCAGAAAAACCGACAAAAATTTAGTATTTGGTCCATTTCATCCCCTAAATATTAACCGATCTTTCCCAAAAACAATAGGGGTCTTCATTGGCCAGAACCCATCCTACATGCAAAATTTCGTGAAGATTGGTCCATAACTGTGGCCTGTATCGTGTTTACAAATTATAATGGACAGACGGACGGACAGACGGACACACATGTCTAGATCGATTCAGCTAGTCGAGATATGACGATCGGTATACTTAAAGGTGGGTCTAGGACCAATATTTCGCGGCGTTACAAACTTTTGAGGCTGCACAAAGCTATAATACCCTGACAACATAGTTGTGTAGGGTATAGTTAAGTATTTGGTCCATTTCATCCCCTAAATATTAACCGATCTTTATAAAAAACAATAGGGGTCTTCATTGGGCAGAACCCATCCTACATGCAAAATTTCATGATGATTGGTTCATAACTGTGGCCTGTATCGTGTTTACAAATTATAATGGACAGACGGACAGACGGACGGACGGACACACATGTCTAAATCGACTCAGCTAGTCGAGATATGACGATCGGTATACTTAAAGGTGGGTCTAGGACCAATATTTCGCGGCGTTACAAACTCTTAGGGCTGCACAAAGCTATAATACCCTGACAACATAGTTGTGTAGGGTATAAAAATTTTAAAAAATTATTTTATTAGTAATTAATTTTATTTCGTTGTTTGGTCATGATTCCTTTTTTGAGAATATACCACAAACATATCTGAAGCTACAGCATACATTGAATCCCTCAAAGACAAACCTCGTTTTTTCGCAGTAGTTTCTGCCATTACCGTGAAATAATCTTCCAAGAATTCGTCATGACATGATTTGGGTATAAAATCGAAAATACCACAAACGGGGATTATATTTTCTGGAAGAGAGAGAAAAACTAAACAAATGAGGATCAAGGCACTTGTAAAGTTTTCTTTGACATGACTTACCTTTAAAATTTTCAAAATTATCATAATAATAAATTCCCTCCTTCACCTCAATGCTAATATTACAAAATCCCGAATCTTCCATCATTTTACAAAAAGTCTCTTTGGGATTTGAGCAATTGTGTAAAGGTGATACAAAACGATTTACATTTGTGATATATGCAGACCATTTTGGACTGGAACTAATTATGTGATTGGCCTCGAATATGTTGTTGTAACCAAAGAATGTTAAAATGCAATCACCGCCCTCCGAACGCAAAAGCTTGAAAATATTCTCCAATGCCGTTCTGTAAATAAATATTTAAGTTATTATTTCATTTTAAATATTTTTTTATAATAAATTTCTCACCTATTATCTGGTATCCAATGTAGTACCAAACTGGATATTACATGATCAAATTGACCCAACATATCTGGGGGTAATGAATTTTCCTTGGCAATATTAATAATCCGCAAATGGCACTTTTTTGGAATTTCATAATTATTTTTAAAGAAATCCAACATTTTTGATGATATGTCACTGAATATCAATTTTTCGATATTTTCAGGCATTAAGGGATAGACGTAATCCATAGAAACATCTCCCGGTCCACAACCAATTTCTAAGACACTATCACCGCCGTCCGGACGCCATTGCAACTTCGAGGCAAATTTTCTTAACAATTGTCCAGCATCTTTTTTCACCGAACTATGAGATTTGTGATACAATTCTGGTTTATTCATTTTGTGTGTGCGAGCGTATTTTAGAAAATTCCCCAAAAGACTGAAGCTGCCAAATGACACCTACTGGCTAGTTGTTACTAGTTTTTATATCAAGTGTTGAGTAACTGAGGTAAATGCCTCTTACATTGAATACCTCTATTAAATTTAGTGGCATAGATCTCTAACGTTTTACAATCTGTTAAAAGATGGTTAGTAGCCATAAAATACAAAGTGCTGGGCAATAAAACGTTCATTATTATTATTGAAATAAAACAGATTTATTTAATTAAAAAAAACTTTATAGTCATCACATGTATCGGATGATAACGTATCGGTACCCACAATAACTTACTTTTTTTAATTTCAAAAATCAAAATAGGCGAGGATTTTTTAAAGAATATTTTTTCAGAGGCGTGGATTTTTTAAAGAATATTTTTTCAGAGGCGTGGAGTTTTTAAAGAATATTTTTTCAGAGAGATGGATTTTTTAAAGAATATTTTTTCAGAGGCGTGGATTTTTTAAAGAATATTTTTTCAGAGGCGTGGATTTTTTAAAGAATATTTTTTCAGAGGCGTGGATTTTTTAAAGAATATTTTTTCAGAGGCGTGGATTTTTTAAAGAATATTTTTTCAGAGGCGTGGATTTTTTAAAGAATATTTTTTCAGAGGCGTGGATTTTTTAAAGAATATTTTTTCAGAGGCGTGGATTTTTTAAAGAATATTTTTTCAGAGGCGTGGATTTTTTAAAGAATATTTTTTCAGGGTGGACTTTATAAAGAATATTTTTCCAGAGGCGTGGATTTTTTAAAGAATATTTTTTCCAGAGGCGTGGATTTTTTAAAGAATATTGTTTCCAGAGGCGTGGATTTTTTAAAGAATATTGTTTCCAGAGGCGTGGATTTTTTTAAGAATATTTTTTCCAGAGGCGTGGATTTTTTAAAGAATATTTTTTCCAGAGGCGTAGATTTTTTAAAGAATATTTTTTCCAGAGGCGTGGATTTTTTAAAGAATATTTTTTCCAGAGGCGTGGATTTTTTAAAGAATATTTTTTCCAGAGGCGTGGATTTTTTAAAGAATATTTTTTCCAGAGGCGTGGATTTTTTAAAGAATATTTTTTCCAGAGGCGTGGATTTTTTAAAGAATATTTTTTCCAGAGGCGTGGATTTTTTAAAGAATATTTTTTCCAGAGGCGTGGATTTTTTAAAGAATATTTTTTCCAGAGGCGTGGATTTTTTAAAGAATATTTTTTCCAGAGGCGTGGATTTTTTAAAGAATATTTTTTCCAGAGGCGTGGATTTTTTAAAGAATATTTTTTCCAGAGGCGTGGATTTTTTAAAGAATATTTTTTCCAGAGGCGTGGATTTTTTAAAGAATATTTTTTCCAGAGGCGTGGATTTTTTAAAGAATATTTTTTCCAGAGGCGTGGATTTTTTAAAGAATATTTTTTCCAGAGGCGTGGATTTTTTAAAGAATATTTTTTCCAGAGGCGTGGATTTTTTAAAGAATATTTTTTCCAGAGGCGTGGATTTTTTAAAGAATATTTTTTCCAGAGGCGTGGATTTTTTAAAGAATATTTTTTCCAGAGGCGTGGATTTTTTAAAGAATATTTTTTCCAGAGGCGTGGATTTTTTAAAGAATATTTTTTCCAGAGGCGTGGATTTTTTAAAGAATATTTTTTCCAGAGGCGTGGATTTTTTAAAGAATATTTTTTCCAGAGGCGTGGATTTTTTAAATAATATTTTTTCCAGAGGCGTGGATTTTTTAAAGAATATTTTTTCCAGAGGCGTGGATTTTTTAAAGAATATTTTTTCCAGAGGCGTGGATTTTTTAAAGAATATTTTTTCCAGAGGCGTGGATTTTTTAAAGAATATTTTTTCCAGAGGCGTGGATTTTTTAAAGAATATTTTTTCCAGAGGCGTGGATTTTTTAAAGAATATTTTTTCCAGAGGCGTGGATTTTTTAAAGAATATTTTTTCCAGAGGCGTGGATTTTTTAAAGAATATTTTTTCCAGAGGCGTGGATTTTTTAAAGAATATTTTTTCCAGAGGCGTGGATTTTTTAAAGAATATTTTTTCCAGAGGCGTGGATTTTTTAAAGAATATTTTTTCCAGAGGCGTGGATTTTTTAAAGAATATTTTTTCCAGAGGCGTGGATTTTTTAAAGAATATTTTTTCCAGAGGCGTGGATTTTTTAAAGAATATTTTTTCCAGAGGCGTGGATTTTTTAAAGAATATTTTTTCCAGAGGCGTGGATTTTTTAAAGAATATTTTTTCCAGAGGCGTGGATTTTTTAAAGAATATTTTTTCCAGAGGCGTGGATTTTTTAAAGAATATTTTTTCCAGAGGCGTGGATTTTTTAAAGAATATTTTTTCCAGAGGCGTGGATTTTTTAAAGAATATTTTTTCCAGAGGCGTGGATTTTTTAAAGAATATTTTTTCCAGAGGCGTGGATTTTTTAAAGAATATTTTTTCCAGAGGCGTGGATTTTTTAAAGAATATTTTTTCGAAGACCCAAACAAGGCGTGGATTTTTTTAAGAATATAAACAAGGCGTGGATTTTTTTAAGAATATAAACAAGGCGTGGATTTTTTTAAGAATATTTTTTCAAAGACGCAAACAAGGCGTGGACCCAAACAAGGCGTGGATTTTTTTAAGAATATTTTTTCAAAGACCCAAACAAGGCGTGGACCCAAACAAGGCGTGGATTTTTTTAAGAATATTTTTTTAAAGACCCAAACAAGGCGTGGATTTTTTAAAGAATATTTTTTCAAAGACCCACACAAGGCGTGGATTTTTTAAAGAATATTTTTTCAAAGACCCAAACAAGGCGTGGATTTTTTTAAGAATATTTTTTCAAAGACCCAAACAAGGCGTGGACCCAAACAAGGCGTGGATTTTTTTAAGAATATTTTTTCAAAGACCCAAACAAGGCATGGATTTTTTAAGAATATTTTTTCAAAGACCCAAACAAGGCGTGGATTTTTTAAGAATATTTTTTCAAAGACCCAAACAAGGCGTGGACCCAAACAAGGCGTGGATTTTTTTAAGAATATTTTTTCAAAGACCCAAACAAGGCGTAGACCCAAACAAGGCGTGGATTTTTTTAAGAATATTTTTTCAAAGACCCAAACAAGGCGCCGATTTTTTTAAGAATATTTTTTCAAAGACCCAAACAAGGCGTGGATTTTTTTGGTTTATTTTTCAAAGACCCAAACAAGGCGTGGATTTTTTTAAGTATATTTTCTCAAAGACCAAAAAGGCGAGGATTTTTTTTAAGAATATTTTTTCAAAGACCCAAACAAGGCGTGGATTTTTTTAAGTTTATTTTTTCAAAGACCAAAAAGGCGAGGATTTTTTTTAAGAATATTTTTTCAAAGACCCAAACAAGTCGTGGATTTTTTAAGAATATATTTTCAAAGACCCAAACAAGGCGTGGATTTTTTTAAGAATATTTTTTCAAAGACCAAACAAGGCGAGGATTTTTTTAAGAATATTTTTTCAAAGACCCAAACTAGGCGTGGATTTTTTTAAAGAATATTTTTTCAAAGACCCAAACAAGGCGTGGATTTTTTAAGAATATATTTTCAAAGACCCAAACAAGGCGTGGATTTTTTAAGAATATTTTTTCAAAGACCCAAACAAGGCGTGGATTTTTTAAGAATATTTTTTCAAAGACCCAAACAAGGCGTGGACCCAAACAAGGCGTGGATTTCTTTAAGAATATTTTTTCAAAGACCCAAACAAGGCGTGGACCCAAACAAGGCGTGGATTTTTTTAAGAATATTTTTTCAAAGACCCAAACAAGGCGTGGATTTTTTTAAGAATATTTTCTCAAAGACCCAAACAAGGCTTGGATTTTTTTAAGAATATTTTCAAAGACCCACACAAGGCGTGGATTTTTTTAAGAATATTTTTTCAAAGACCCAAACAAGGCGTGGATTTTTTTAAGAATATTTTCTCAAGGCGTGGATTTTTTTAAGAATATTTTCAAAGACCCACACAAGGCATGGATTTTTTTAACAATATTTTTTC